TCCGATGAGGTACACTGTTATATCCAAGCTGACATTCGGTTACTTCGCTTCTTACTTTGACGGACTATTTAATTTTGTGAGAATGACAGACGATATTTCAAACGTTGACGATGGTCACGATGGTGTACGGACGCTACGAACGTTTATAACGAGCAATGGTGCTCCTTTGGTGGAATTATGAACGAAAACCAATCGCAGCTCGGAATTGTATCGATTTTTTCGGACGGCTAAGGACGCTATCAGAGACAAGGAGGACAGTGGAAAGGATAATGAACAGACCGTGACGGCACAGGGCCTTCTCATGACGTCACGTGGTCGAATGCCTGTGATTGGGTGAAAATATAACCGAAAACCAATCGATACGACGCTCCCTCAGCCATGCCCCCTAAATACTTATAATCTCAACTGTACCAAAAAGAGGCTGAAACATAACAGATATACAACAGATACAACAGATATGACGTTAAAATTCACTCAGTCACCCTAGAGTCTCTCTCCGCCAGCCACACTACGAAAAGACAAATTTATCTAAAACCCATTTCATAATACTTTATTGAACATACATAAAACAAATATGTATCTTACATGCTTACAGAAACCGTAGGTGTCAGTGATGTACTCCAAACAGTCTCGACATACAAGGTGAGACACTGCACGGTATCCTTTCCTCCTTGTGAAACAAAGACTTAGACTACAATAACAAGTAACCATCAATGTATGTTACCAAATCGTCATACGAGACACGATACCCGCCACCCATTGCACACAACAACAACTGAGAATAACATTACAATAGTCATCGATGTCTGTTACCCATTGCACAAAACAATGACCAACACTAACATTACAATACTGGTAATCATTAATGTCCATGTTTCTTAGCTATTCATCATACAAGGCACGACGCCCGCCACCCAGTGCTCAAAACAACAACTAAGAATAGCATTACAATAATCATTAATGTCTGTTACCTATTAGTCATACAAGGTAATTACGATACCCGCCACGCATTGCACAAAACAACAACTGAGAATAACATTACAATAATCATCGATGTCTGTTACCTATTCATCCTACAAGGTACGATACCCGCCACCAATTGCACAAAACAACAACTGAGAATAACATTACAATAGTCATCGATGCATGTTACCTATTCATCATACGAGACACGATATCCGCCACCCAGTGCACAAAACGACGACTAAGACTAACATTACAATACCCATCCATGTTTCTTACCTATTCATCATACAAGGCACGATACCCGCCACCCATTGCTCAAAACCACGACTAAGACTAACATTACAATAATCATTAATGTTTGTTACCTATTCATCCTACCAGGCACGATACCCGCCACCCAGTGCACAAAACAATGACTAAAACTAATATTACAATAATCATTGATGTCTGTTACCTATTCATCCTACAAGGCACGATATCCGCCACCCATTGCACACAACAACAACTGAGAATAACATTACAATAGTCATCGATATCTGTTACCCATTGCACAAAACAATGACTAACACTAACATTACAATACTGGTAATCATTAATGTCTGTTACCTATTCATCCTACAAGGCACAATACCTGCCGCTCGTTGTATAAAGCAACAACTGAGACTCAAATATCAATGAATGTAATATTCTCCACTTAAACTGTACCATCCCAGATAGCATTCAGACGTTGGCCTAACGTTGGCAATGGTTTTGCCAACATTGCAAACGTTGGGCCAACGTCCGAATGTTATCTGGGATATCGTTCAGTCGTGTCACTAAACGGCAATTATACACAATGTTCATAACACGTGTACATCAACGTGTGTTACATTGCTCATCATGTAAGGCACTAAACCCCTCGTACCTGCCACAAAACAAAGACTAAAATATAATAAGAACACGAACTTGCTACGAAAACTGAAACATATCCCCACTGCACAAAACATCGACTGAGACTAACATTACATGTGATTATCCATATCTGTTACCTTTTCGACATAAAGTGCTTGGTATTATGCACATGCACAAAACAACGTCTAAGACTAAACATAAAAGAAAACGGCACCAGTTGAAAATCGATTCATTTTTGTGCCTTGATTGCTGAAAAATTACCTACTATACTCTCCGAAATAAGAAACGCATAAGTGTATTTCCACGATTTGCTCTTGCTAACTTTAAAGGGAAATAACACTTAATTCTGGATAAGTTGCAGCCAAATAAAGTAGTGCTCAAAAGAAGGTATATAGTGTGTTTGATCAAACCTGAAAAGAAACGAAAAACATACATAAATGAGCATCTGTTTCATTTCAATAGAGTATTCAATTCCACAGCAACATTACAATTTTCATTTTTTATACAAAGTCGTTTTACTGACACTGAAAGACACGTGGTATCATAGTCTCAACATTTACACAAATCAGCAAGGCAACTTTTTTTCTGTAAAATGTCATCCAATGTTGAATCAATAGTGAGTGGGACCACCATTGGATTCAATACACGCCAAAACACGCATTGATGACGTAAGATGACAAATGACGTTAGGCGTGATCCATTGAATACCTGTAGGAGAAATTGTTCCAGTTGTTGAGCGGTGACAGGTCGCGCTGGTAGTCTTCTGATTTGTCGATCCAGGAAGTCATATGAGTGTTCTATCGTATTCATGTTGAGGGAACATGCTCGCCACGGCAAAACGGTGTTAGCGTTGTGCAGAAAGCCGTTTGTCAGTCTTGCTGTATGATGCCGTGCGTTATCGTGTTGGTAGACAATGCTACGTGGTTGTTGCTGGATAAATGGCAACGCAACCAGTCGCAAAATGTCATCCCTGAAGTATCTTCATGCATTCAGGTTGCCTTGAATAATCACAAGTCTCGTTTGGAGATCGCCGCAGATTCCTCCACATCATCGCCCAACAGGCTGAAAGCGGTTGGACTTGCTGAAAGCAATTACGGCGCTAAAACTAACTGGTCTGTAAACACGGTCCTGGCCGTCATTACTGTACAGGCAAAACCTACTCTTTGTCGTAGAACAGCACACGTCGTATCTGCCAACGTGGAACTCGCCTGGCCCATGTCAATCGACGGCGTCGTTTTGGAAGAGTAAGATGCACTAAGTGGTAAGGTCGACGCGCTCGAATACCATGTTCTCATAATCGCCGGTACACTGTATGTCGACTGATACGGTGTCCTTGTGCCCGTCACTGCAGTTGACGTCGCCGTCACAAAACGATTTCTCAGATGTCAGGAAGTGGCGATCATCACCGGGCGTTGTCAAACTCCTTGGCCTGTCTGACGTATTGCCTGTTTGTCTTAGTCGTTGCATCAGTCTGATGACAGTTGCTCGGGTGCAGCTGAACGTTCTGGCAATGACCTTGTGGTTAGCTCCTCGTTGGACCATTCCGACGGCGCTCTTTCTTTTGATTTGCCTCCAACGTTGCATATTCTTTGTGTTCTTTTTACTTTTGTGCAGCTCACGTGTCTCGTAGGATGTGTTTTACCGTCAGTAGGCACGTGTATTTCGTGTTACATGAGAAAAAAGTCGCTTTGGATGTTTGTTTCGCTGTTTGTTCCCGGAAAGGAAGGGTCTGTACGTGTGTGACATGACTCAGCACGGGGGTATTTCTTCATTTATATTTTTCTGATTTTTTAAGTAATATTTTGCACTGTAATGTTCTCATTCTGAAGATACTGGATAATGGCATATGCTGAGTGCGACTTGGTTTTATCTTGCTGGAACAACTCCCTCTGGCGGTCAATGATCGAAACCATGTTAATCCTTAAGATTTCGTCTCTGTACTGAATAGCAGTTAGATCTGACTGAAGACCCCAACCACCATTTCGGTCAACCTGGGCGACACAATTCTGGGCGAAACGTTCATTTGCGACGTCGGTAGACACATACACTTCCGTTAAGGCACTGAAGCAGAGAGCCACCTCTTTTCTGTAACATTTCATGCAGGTTGAAACTTTCGAACGTATACGTCCACTACGATTCCGAAGATGCATGTTTGCGTTGTGCATTCGTTCCATATACAACCCCCCAGTATAATGGCGAAATTATAACAATCAAAAATATCAATGATAAATTTAAAATTCCATACATCACAGTTGATATCGGTCATCCCATAACGATATTCTTTCATTTAACTTAAAACTACCTTATATAGACAATGTCCTGCTCAGGTTTCCCCAGAACTGCACATGCATATTGCGAGCCACTTTTTCTCCATAACAATTTGATACAGGTTGAGACTTTAGAACGTACACGTGCATTAAGTTTCCAAAGATACGATTTTGCGTTGTGCATTCGATCCATATAACACCCCAACCCCAGTATAATGGTGAAATTATAACCATAAAAAAATGGTAATCATCAATATCACCTGTGCGTTTCCTTTTTTGGGAGAGTATAGTTTAGAGTGATGGTCCCGTCAAACTCGTTGATAGGAGTAGAATTGAACTTCTTGCCTTCTAAAGAAGGAAAACACTATAGCTCTCTGTAGTATCAACCTCCGTTTCTGTTTGGCTAAGCTTTTGCTCCATGGAGAAAGTAAATTTAACCAGCAAAATACATGAAGTAGAAGCAGACTGCCTTTCACGTAGTTGAAGTTATTGAACCGTTTTGGAGTTGTTCTGGACAGTAATCACCAATATCTGTTACCTGCTTGTCATAAACTGCACCGTACATGTGTATGATCCAGTTATTGCCAGAAACGACCAAGGATAAAATAATACCAGATGCTCAATGTCTGTTACCTTTGCGTATGATTCAGTTATTGCCAGAAACGACCAAGGATAAAATAATAACAAATACTTAATGTCTGTTACCTGCTTGTCATAAACAGCACCGTGCATGTGTAAAGACGATTGTGACATTCTACTACTGATTACCGCCAACATATCATGGTGGGTGACATCAATCCACAACCTACACCTATTTCACTGGACAACCCTCGAACCAAGAAGATTATACGTGAAGCTTTCTTTTACGCTTTGCTATCATGGCTGCCGTTTTTCCCATCCTTGTCCCTTGGCGTTAATGTCGACCAGGTTATGTGACAGGATGTGCTTTACCATCTCCATACGTCCATATGAAGAGGCCAGATGAAGGATGTTGTCTCCATCATTATCCACGTGTGACTCATTAGCTCCCATTTTCACGAGGAACTCAAAAACGTCTTTGTGTCCGCGTAATGCAGCCTCCATCAAAGGGGTCCTTCCGTGTTTATTACTACTGTTAATATCAACACTGCCTTGTGAAACTAGATACTGCACAATATCCAACTGTCCACCACGGCAGGCAAAGTGCAGGACATTGTGGCCGTCGTCATCAACTTGGGACACATTACTTCCCGTACACACGAGAAACTCCAAAACGTCTCTGTATCCCCTCTGTGCAGCCTGTAACAAGGGGTGCATACTCCCTAACATTGATGTTAATTCTGTATTGATCAGTACACACTCCACGATACCTGCATGTCCCGCCCTCGCATGCCCAGTGCAGGACGTTCTTATAGTCATTATCCACTTCTGACATATCAGCCCCTCTAAAGATAAGAGTGTCAAACATTGTGCAATGTCCTTCCTTTGCCGCCACCATGAGTGGTGTCCTTCCGCGCTTCCTCGTCTCTGCTGTTGATGTCGACCAAATGCTGGGTCAGGATGTTTATCATTCGGTGCATGTCCCCTTCCTGCAGGCCTCGTGAAGTGGGCTGTTGACAAATGTTTCCTGCTTGTCAACTTTATGTTGTGGGGAGATTCCTCGGGGTCGTTTTGCTTTTCATCTGTATATATGATAATTATACAATGATGGTAATATGTTAGATATTTACTGCTATGACATGTGGTAACAGAAGATATACTCCATTACCGCCTGTGCACAATGTGTCAGGAAGCAATGTGGGTGCAGTAATCTCTTTTGAATTGAGCCTTGAAGCTAAAAAAATGCATTGATGCTTTTGTTGAGTAAACTGTTGAGTTTCTGACAATAAGCCCTTGTGGCACATCAACACAACATTTTACTCGCTGCATTTGTGTCTATTATTTAAAATATAACCATAAACACATTACTTGGCAATCAGAGGTTCCAATGCAAAGTCTATTGTTCTTTTTGATGAATATCCCTCCTATTGTTTCAGGAGCGCGAATAATGAATGTCACTATGCTCACTGTGCTTCAAATCTGTGCTCTCTGGTGTCCAGTCATAACATGGAATTTAAGATGTCTGAGAGCTTTTAACACCTGATTATTGCAGCAATCTACCGGTATTTATTGTGTTTAACGACGTTTTAGGGCTTGACCCATTTTATGTTACCCTGTATACGTGTCTATTGTATGTGCGCACGTGAGCATTTGTCAAACATCACCTGAATCCAAAGACATATTTAATAAAAAAAGTGAGCATAAAAAAGTCTACCAGTCACTAGTGCACAGGGTGGAAGCGCTGTCCACGCGAAATGTGACAGTGAAAGAAGAACATGTGGCGCCAAGACTAACGGTACGTTTTTCCTCGCATTTTCAATTTTTGCAAGTATATCAGGTTTTGCCATTTTGGCAAACGGGTCTAGAAATTTACAGATCTTTCTATAATGGCTTGACACCCTCTCTATTTATTGCAATTGTGCGTTAAGCGATGGCACCCTCCAAACAAGATCGCAAAATGATCGTTTCAACTATCAACATTGGTTAGATAAATTGCTAGGCCCGTCTGCCAAATGACAAAACCTGCAAAAAAAGGAAAATGGGAGGTAAAACTTACCATTACTATTGCGCCACATGTTCTTCTTTCACTGTCCAGCAAGGAAATGGAGTTGCTTTTGGGGCAACTCCACATTTCGCGTGGACAGCGCTTCCACCCTGTGTAGTGGTGTGACGATTCGTCGATACACATCGATGCATTGATCCATGGGCCGCCAATACAGTGAATCGATACACAGTTTTACATTGTCGTATTTCCCGATAAGATACATCAAATGGGCCAAGATACATCGAGGTTTGACTTTGAATATTGCCGAATCGCGATATCTGTCAAGAAAGACTTACTTTTGTTTGATGAGTAAAAGATATGCATACTTATTTTCTCTTCATAGTTTCTCGGACATTCTTGTGTCAGGAACTGTTTCAAAGCGTAGCGCCTGCATTTTATTTAACATTCACAAAGTCCGTATATAAACTTAATTATCTTATTTCCGACTGAACATTGAAAAACGCTGAAGAATCTGGCGAAAATGGTTTTGTTTTCTTAAGGGTTCTATAGTTGGTGTTAAAATAAACATTTTAGTATCGTCATATGTATCTAATCGCAACCCTTGTATCGGGTTCATATCGTGTATCGCAGCTTTAGTGCACAATACTTTGGCAATATATCGTCATGACTAAATTTTAGTATCGTGATGTATCGTATCGCGGGTTGTATGCCAATACAAGCACTAGTCACTACTATACACAAACTCACGAGCATGTGTATGGTGCATACGAACCTAAAATACATCTTGGTATTTGACCAAGATTTTGTCATGGTAAAGAGCCTGGCAGCTTTACATTACGCTGTGCCTTTGTCCACCAAGCTTCTCACGTGCCACTTCGTGAACTAACTGGATATTATTGCCATTTGACAAACATTTTTTAAGGTTAACACCCCAAAACATATAATGTTGTGTACAATATGTACCAGGATCCGGTGTTGTGTGGAACGATACGGATAACCTTTTGAAGGCTACATACAACAAAGCTCCTTTGGAATTTCTGTTCTTTCTAATCTTCCAACACAACCAATGCCAACCACCTCCAACACCACCAATACCGGCCACCTAAAATACTACCAATACCAACCACCTCAACACTACCAATACCAACCACCTCCAACACCACCAATACCAGCCATCTAAAAGTACTACCAATACCAACCACCTCCAAAACTACCAATACCAACCACCTCCAACACCACCAATACCAACCACCTCCAACACCACCAATGCCAACCACCTCCAACACCGACAAATGCGTACATAAATGAGTGTCCATCGCCAGTCCCCACATTCCTTGACGGTGAATAATCTACAAGATACCTGCCAAGGAAGGAAGAAGACAACCAGGAAGAGTAGGACCAGCAGGGGATATAAAACTTGCAGAAGAGACCGGACAAAGAGACAGAGAGATAGAGACTGAGGTTGCAGAGAGGGAGAGGGATATCTGTACCTCCCAGTCCTCAAGTGCTGATGTTTCTGCACCCCAAGGAGAGCCGAGAGCCCCAAGCACAGCAGAAAAGACGATGGGGAACCATGAAACTGGCCGAATTTGTTAAACAGCACCACCATCTGTTCGACAAAGAGCAGAAGGATTGGCTGAATGTCACTGCAAAGACCAAATGCGTCATCGGCTACGAAATGATATGGCACCAGCTTGTCATCATTAGGGAGTGGAGATGGTCAAGTCAAGTCAAAGTGTTTATTGTATTTAAGGCCTCCGGCCCACATACAAGAAGAATACATATTATACATATATAAATACACACAATAATACAAGGATGAAAGGAATAAAGTTAATCAGTAGCTTCACAGTTCAGTTCTTAAAGATAAAGCATGTTTTACCAACGGATAAAAATAGTTTACAAGCTAAAAGATGCGATTGCAATTTCTCAATACAATCATGTTTTGGAACCCCAAATTTCTGAGGACATATAACATTATGGGTTGAATTTGAGAATCAAACAATTTTAAAGTATACTAGGGCATAAAGAAACTGTGCTTTGTCAAAATATTATCCCAACTGTAATAGGGGGATCGTGAGACCATAACAAGTCGAGAGAATTTTAACTGAAAAGTCAATCACAATGACGTCACGTGTCCCAAAGCAGGACAGGGGTCAAACGCCAGATTCTCTCAAGTTCTGTTGCAAGGTCAAGGACATTATCTGGCGGGTGAGGAACACAGCGAAGACGTCGATCCATCTCGTCCCAAACATGTTCTATCGGGGAGAGACCCTGTGAATTTGCAGGCCAAGGCAGTAAGTCAACGTTATGGTGTTGCAAGAAATCCATAGCAACCCTTGCCGTATGGCGGCGTGCATTGTCCTGTTGGAATGTTAACCCAGGGCCATGACGTTGCAGAAAAGGAATCGCCACAGATCGAAGAATCTGATCCCCTGTAGCCCACACAAGTTAAGTTGCCATGAACAATCACCAAAGGAGTTCTTTGGCGTGCTGTTATTTGACCCCAAATCATCGGAACCACCACCAAAGCGATTCCTCTCAAGACACAGGCCTGTGCATAACGTTCTCCCGCGTCTATAGGCACGTTGACGTCCATCACTATAGGAAATGTTAAACCTGGACTCATCTGTAAAAACAACATTTCTCCACCAAAACAAGGGTCTGCGGACATGATTTCGGCACCACATTCGGCGAGCTTGTCGATGACATTGTGTCAGGATAGGCCGTATGGCGAGACGTCGTGGTCTGATCCCGTGATGGCGTAAACGTTATCGAACTGTGTTGGGGTGGATACCGCGAAGTCCTGGGATGGTCCGGGAAGTTATCACTGCAGTCTGAAACCTGTGGCGAAGATGGGTCACCCTTACCACATCTGTCCTGTCTTAACGTTGTTACACGTGGACGTCAGAACGTGGCCGTGACAGTATTAATGTGGCATTCATTTGCTCCGTTTCTGCACGTGCTGCACGTGCAACAACGTCTTGCACGTCTCAAGGACGAAACCACTGACATCACGGAACGTGGCACGTGCATGCATGTTGGATACATATCACTAATCTCTGAGTTTAAATCCTTATGTGTCTACACAGGTTTGATAAATTTTTATTTTTATATTTTGTATGAACAGTTTCTTTATATTGCCTAAGTATATATACCATGTGTTAAAACGCCTAAGTTCTGAGATACAGCCATGAGGTTGATTAATGCTTTCTTGGCTCGTGATGTCAAATCAGTAACACTTTTCTTGAAATTCATTGTATGAGTGAACAGTACACCCAGATAAGTATAGTGATTAGCAATAGTAATCAACTTTCCATTTATGGACCATTTCTCATTTTTCTGCAACAGGGCCTTCTCTTCTAAAATGGCAACATTTGTTTTGTCAAAATTAGCTGACATTTTTCAATCATGTGGATAAAGTTCTAGGATGTTAAGTTGATTTTGTAGTCCAACAACAGTATCTGATACTAGGATTGTCCTCAACAGCTTCATGCACAGTACAGTTCTTCCATGTTTCTCCATCTGAAGCACAACCCTCTGCCCCAACATCAACATACAAGAACTTGTGAAGCCCTTATAGTTGTAGTAGAATGATCCAGCTTTGGGTGGCTTCTTCATAGCAAAGTGCTTGCCGTCTACAGCCCCCAGACACTTGCGGTAGTTCCATATGGAACGAAAACTTTCAGCAACCTCCTTCCACTCCTCTTTAGTTTTGGGGCACCTGTATACTTCGTCATTGAAGACCTCATGCTGGCTTTGCAGACCTCTGAGTGCGAACGAGCAGATTGTACTTCAACTCAAAGCTGTACTGTAGACTTGCAAGGGAATTACCAGTGGCAAGGAAACGACGAGTGGTTGCCAGCTTGAACCCCACCTCAGCGGTTCTCTCATGAACGTGGTCTTCTTTTCAAGGTGAGGGGTTAGTTTCTCCACCATCTCTTGGAACAAGTCGGGGAAAATTCTCAGGTAATTTCAGTAGCCTCTATCAATAACTGATCATAATGTCCCGAAGTGATGCCTTCTAGTCGACCAAAGAAGTCTTCAGAGGTAATACTGCTGCACCTGCGAGATATAACACCTTCTGCAAAAAGCTTGTTCTCTGGTGTTAATCATCTTGTAGGTCCACAACAAGTCGAGGAATGCATGAAGCTAGGGGTGATGCCTGCTATTTATATAGCGTGGCGTCAAGCGAGACAAAGCAGGACCAAATAATGGTACGACTGCTTCATGCATTCGAGATGTGGTTGTGACAATGCATGCGCTTTCTGGAACAATGCACGTCCTGCGTACCATGCCGTACACTAGATGTATACAGAGCACCAACAATACTTCTGACCTAGACGTAAATAAGTCGTGCAATGACATGCCATTGCATGGCAATGCGCGCCATTTTCGGTCACATTGCGTGCCAAGTGAGTAACTTATCGTAAACAGGACGCGAACAGTGCACAAACAAGGCTTCACGCGTTCATATGTACCGTCAAAATTACACGCATTGCCATGACGCATCGGCGCAGCAGTGCAGAGGCAAACTTCGTGCAAGTTTTAGTTTTAGTACCTGTGACAAACAATGGTCGATGTTATCAAAAGTGTGTACTGGATACCGTTATCATGCCACATTTTAATAACCATCTCCTTGTCAGTCGTTCCATATTCATTGATGACAAAATCTTGACCTTACCGTTTAAGGAGCCCATTTGCAGTACAATGCCATGGAAACATTTTCATGGTCTGCAAGGAGTCACATTATAGACCCCATCGACAATCTTTGGGACAGTCGTGGATGCCAGAGTTGGAGATAGATATCCCCTGTTCACAATCTGCGGAATTGACGCAGGCACTCAAGAGGAATCGATGAAGATTCTGATGCTAAAAATTCGATACAAGTGAGTGAGTGAGTATTTATGCCGCTTTTGGCAATATTCCAACAATATCATCATCTTGAGGATACCAGAAGTGGGCTTCACACATTGAACCTTGTTTTTTCGGCGTGGTAAAGGAACGCAGTAACCACTAGGCCAGTATAAAGTAGGAGACTGACAGATGTTATCTGTTTTTAGGGGTGGCTACACTAGGTTGGTCGTCAGTTGGTCATACAATCAAAACAACCGGAGGAAAAAGGTTTCAGTGACATTTTAAAGATGCAGAATTTGTTTTTCAAAGCAGATATAGCAACATGTGGTGTTTTCGTGTTTGATTTATGTTCATGTGGCTGATATATTATAAGAGATAAAACATAGATTTGGATCATGAGAAAAACATTGTCAAAGAACATTTAATATCACTGACATCGCTTTGAGATGCATAACTCAATATTATGGAAGCGTGCATACTCAATACACAATACAGATAAGTAGTCAGTAGGCTGTTCCAAAATGAGCAGAGACCATGGGTTGATTGACAAGATCGATTAAACCTGAAAGACATCACAAGGATTTGTCCACATAATCCTCTTTCACGTTATACACCTTGGCCAACAACATCGAGGAACTGAATCTTAATTTCATTGTTTTCTTCTTAGTACATGTGCAAGCGTCCTCCACGTTGATTCCAAAATATTGGTTGCTGTTTACACTTCGACTTCAGTTAATGGCAAGGTTATCGTAAGCATGATAGAATCTTGACCAGAAGCTGTGACACTATTTTTGGAAACTCGATCATTCGCGCTTTTGCTTTCACAGTATCATCCATTCTCTGTATTTGAGGTTTTCGATGTCAAATGCCTCCATGGTTGTGGACGTTATCAAGGCTCTAGCTGCTAGGTTTCAAATCTGCTGCACTTCTCTCTTTGCTGGTGAGGGAAGCCATAAAATGTGTTGGGTTTTTTTCATATCTTTCATTGATGGTGACTTTTGTATTGTTGACACCTATTTTTCCCCTTTCACAAAATGGTTTAGAGGTTAGTTAAACTGTATATCAGTTCGCACTGACGATATATTCTGAGTTTGCATACAGCATTTGCAGAAAAACACATTCAACCAAATGTTTCCTCAGGTGGAGGTTTCGTCGTGGTCAGGACTGTAAACTTGACTTGGTGACAAAACATGACAGTACGTTGGAATTTGAACATCGATGAAGTGCTGGATAATCATCCTCTTGCTACAGGACCTGCATTTTGGGATGACAATGGTCAGCCACACCGATCTCGTGCGGTGACAGCTTTCATTCAGAATAACGCAGCGACTCCCTTCCCGTGGCCCACAATGAATCCAGATTTGATCCCCTTGAAGCACATTTGGGACATCGTACAAAAACTTTTGTCTTCTGTTCAAATTTGAATTGGAAGCATTTTCTCACCGAGGATGGTGACAGTTTTCTCTTCAACAGATTACGACGATTGAAGGGGCGATGCGACGTAGGGTACAAGCACTTTCCAATCACGTGGAGGGTACACTAGGTATTGATTGTACAACGTTTCCAGGTTAGAAATATACGTTTTGTTTCATCACATACACGCCATGTCTCGTGATCCTCTACCCAGCTCCATACTTGTAACAGGTATTATTGTGAGCCCAAACAGATGATTTTGTAATGTGCCATACCAATTAGTAATACGTTGAAAGAAACTGTCCTTTTTGTGTTTTCTTGTAACACAGAAAAGCAAAGCAGTTTTACCAATGTATTGGGTGTGCACAACACTGAAACGTAGCCGAAACGTACAACTTTTTTCAGGGGTATAGATTGTTAAATACTTCTGTAGATTTCTGGCGTTTGTCTGAGCTATAAAGAGAACAAGGAGTACTTCAGTTAGCGTTGGTCTCGGATGTTAAGTGGACCTGTAACCCCCTTCAGTTAGCCTTTTGTCTCGGATGTGAGGTGGACCTGTAACCCCCTTCAGTTAGCCTTTTGTCTCGGATGTGAGGTGGACCTGTAACCCCCTTCAGTTAGCCTTTTGTCTCGGATGTGAGGTGGACCTGTAACCCCCTTCAGTTAGCCTTTTGTCTCGGATGTGAGGTGGACCTGTAACCCCCTTCAGTTAGCGTTGGTCTAGGATGTTAGGTGGACCTGTAAACCCCTGGAGTTAGCGCTGGTCTCGGATGTGAGGTGGACCTGTAACCCCCTGCAGTTAGCGTTGGTCTCGGATGTTAAGTGGACTTGTAACCCCCTTCAGTTAGCCTTTTGTCTCGGATGTGAGGTGGACCTGTAACCCCTTCAGTTAGCGTTGGTCTAGGATGTTAGGTGGACCTGTAAACCCCTGCAGTTAGCGCTGGTCTCGGATGTGAGGTGGACCTGTAACCCCCTGCAGTTAGCGTTGGTCTCGGATGTTAGGTGGACCTGTAACCCCAGTTAGTTTGTCTGACGTATGAGGGTTACTCCCTTTGGTGACCTTGAAGTTCCCTCTTTTAGCTATAACAGCTGAAATCACAGCTTCTGTACGCTAGTGTCTCAGATGCAGGTGAATATCGAACACAAAATTGTAGCATAGCAGGAAATCTTAAATGGTGAGAAAGAATGTCAAATACATACTTAGAGAATAATCCACAAGGTATGAGTGATTACAGGAAATTTGGTCTGAGTGAATTAATGTTCACCGTTTATTTGTTTATTTCTTACTATCAAAATTATATATAGTCAGGGATTAAGCGTTTGTCTAGCGTTTACAACTAAATCAGCTGATCTGTATTAATGCGCGAATGAAACTAAACAGTTTCCCAGTTCGTTTGATGGAGATTTTGAAAGCACACCCTCTTGTAAAGATAACGTTTAGTACAATCACATATTCAATATTTATTTGTAGGTTGCAGATTTGTCGATCTAGCCTAGATCTACTCATGTCAGAATTTGGGTGATGGTTGTTGGATACAAAACAGCAAAAAACAGTCAATTTTTTAAAAGTTAACTTAAAAAACAGTGAAAATCTGTAAGAGAACGATAAAACGCAGAAATGGGGAACCTTTTATATTTGTTAAAGATGACAGTACACAATTATAAACGTTTGTCAACATTTTGCTGAAATGGACTGTGACCTAGTTTTGGTTCTAAATTTAGTCCGAGTGGACAACAGTTTTCGTTGGCAGCCAAGAGGTTGCCAATGTCAAATACAGGACCAAACCTGTCAAAAGTTTTGATTTTGATTGGGGGGTCAAAAAGACATCTTGCAGTAGTCATTTATGACACCCTCCCCCAAGTGGGGACTTTAGCGAGATGGTGACTCGCTCGATATCGTATCCGGCAACACTTTCAGTTTATACCTTGTCACTTCCATTTCACCATATTTAGTGTTTATCACATACACGTTAAAGCAAGTTAGTAGTTGTATTATTCTCGTTACACGTCCAGTAATGTCTCCGTGTCACCTTCACCTGGTCATTGACTTTGACTGGAGTTAACTGGGTAGCCATTTTATTTACAAAAGAAACAAACATTGTTTTTATTACAAAACATGCTGTTAAGTAAACGACGCCATATTGTTATGCCATAAAGCATTACCTTAGCATCAAATTTGAAATCCTGTATGATGTTTTTTATTTTTTTTTGGGGGTGGGGTTGATTGATTTTTGTGTGTTTTTTTGTTCTTTTTAACAGCTCTAAACGATGCACTTCCAGCATCGTCAATGCACAAATGTACAAATATACGATCGACCAATCAACGTCGAGAATTACTGAACTGCACACTGCAAATATTGAAAAGATATTACATGGGATCTCCTCACCCTAATGTTTAATAAAGAGATAATAGATCAAGAGCTGCCCAATACCGTCTAGGGAGTATAGACAGAAAATGTGAAATACGCCCGCCATTACCTTCTACACAGACAGTTTGTCCAGATCGAGTCTTCAAACACCGTTCACCGAAAGTGCACATACTGGATGTACAGGAACCAGTTGGGACCTCGAAAAAAGGAGAAAGAAGAATTATGATATGTTGTCCTCTAAACCTCATGTATCAATATAATAATATTCTAGTGACCACTAGCATAACTATTTTCGGGACA